TTGAAATCTTAATTATTTTGCTCCCAATATATACCTATATATAAAGTCTTTACTAAGGAATAAAAATATTTAGGATTATTTTACTCAGCCTGTTACTGGTTATATGCTATTATTATAGAATTACATAGATTTATCCTTGTAGCATATAAATAAAGCTTGTCAATTTAATTGGCTGTTGATACATTCAATTTTTGATGTGTGTATCCTCCGCAAACCTGTTGGCGGCATTGACTTGGCCGAATCGGAGTTTTAACCCACCGAGGCCCTTGATTATTATGCGAGACTACGACAAAACCATGACAACTCAAGTCCACATTAAGTATAATGAGTATTATTCTGCAGGAAAAGTCCTTAAATATAAATACTTTTATTCTTAATCCGCATTTCCTAAATTTAAGCGTAAGAGCCAAGCCGACAAATTGGGGTCTAAGAAGTTGAGGATCGGCCTATGTGCATACTTAGAAATGCTAGACTAGAGCTAGTGAAATTACCTTTATATTTCTTTATTTTTTCCCCTACATTTCGCACTAATCAGTCTGGGGCCAAGCACTTTGCCTGGCCTTGATCCTGGTTGCAGAGGAGCTATAAGTGACAAAGGTAGAACCGAGGCTGAAGAATGTCGGACTAACACTCTACGAGAAACTCCTCAAGGTGGTGGGACAACTCATAACTTCCGGCACTTCCACCAGTCGCAATTGCACTTAAACCAAAGCCAATTTAACCGCCACTACCACAACACTTATTCTGATCAACACCAATCTCGATGCCATCTAGCTCATCCAGAACAGACGATGCTTCATATGCACCAGACGGTGGCCACACGAACTGTCGGCCGAATATTGCCGTCGTCAATTATGGTTGGCGATCACGAGCCGGCAGCAGCTGGGAATAAGACAGAAGGGGAGAAGGATGAGTTCAAAGATCTCAATCTTGATAAGCCACTGAGTTTAATGAGCGTCGTTGAGGGTTTTGCTGCTAAGGGCTTTGTTGGCTCCGATGAGGCTGGAGAGATCTCAAGGGGGCCTGGTGTCTGGAGAGGGACTTCTAAGCACCGAGGTCCCAGGTGCCATTGGACCAGTGGCCCTCGAACAGGTGAGCACAGTGAACTGGTAATTTGACAGTATATACTCAGCCTCGATGGTAAAGATTATGCCTAGCTTATTTTTTAAATTTCTTCTGGCTAGTTGATGTTCGGTGGAGAAACCATCATTTTTCACTTTTTTCTTGTTTTTTTACATATGCTTATGTAAATCTTTTGTTCTCATGCACATCTTATAATCTCAACTTTCTCAAAAGTTTTGATTTTTATTCTACGGCCCTCCAGCCTTTCCTGACTTGGGACTGTTAGTCTGTTAAATACCACTTACTTCACCAGCTCGGTATTTGCTATTCGGGCTGCTTCTGCCATTGTTGCTGCGCTTCTTCGGTATCTTACATTCTCTAGGTTTGTCCT